TATAGATATATTTTGTATATCAAAATATTGAAAATACACTTATATACAGAAATGATACGTACTGTATTACGAAATAAGTTTAATGTGATCATGAAATCTTGATGAATTATTTCCTGGAATTGTGTTTATACTCAAGTCCACTTGCGGACAACGAAATTACAACGAGAACTATGTCAACATAGAACGACGACATTGTCGAGACAATGTTGTTTCGGCAGGTATGATTTCTGTAATGACAATTCCACGAGATAGAATGAAGATACAGTGGAAATAAAAGAAGTTTAAACGTCGTATTTCGTTATTAAAGTATGTTGCAGTTTCTAAATATTAAAAGTTTTGGAGTATAAAAAGTCAGGAGAGAAGAATTTAATACTTTTAAGGAAAAATTACGTTTTAAAAATGAAGTATTTTTAAAGTAATTAGATAATAATATTGTGAGAATAATAATCTGGAAACATTTCAATATATTTGTTTTAATATTTATTTTATGTTTTATAAAAATCTGTAGCATTCCGTAATATATCATACTTGAAAGAAATTTTTAACTTTTAGATGGCAGTTTTTAAAGCAGAAACGTGATATATTTTATATACATTTTCTAGAAAATTAAAAAACTTCTTGTGGACTTTTCCTCCGGAAATATAGTGGTTATTGGTGTTCTCTTCACAGAGCAATCATATTAATGGAAAGTTGACGAACTACAGAGAAAATATGAAATTCAGTGTAAAACATCATTAATAAACAGATGGAAAAAACAAATTATGTTATATGAGAACTGTAAATCGATATTAATTAAAAAACCGATCAACAGGTTTGAATAACAGGAAAATTACGAATAATTTTAATTATGATTATTTCCTCAACTTATAGATTGGATTTGTCGAAATCGATTATTAAAAATGTGTCACAGAGCACCTTCTGGATGATTGCCACGGATAATAGATTCTATTATACTATAGTAGTGAATCAATTGTTTGTCATTGCGCTGAATCGTGACAACGAGTGAAAACAGATGATTACAATGGCACAGTGGCCGATATTATTATATCGAAAGTATGACATACGCGCTGTCTCGTGTTTCCGCAATGGCAGAGGGCTTAAATAATAGTACACCGGGAGCACGCGTTGCACAAAATCGCACGGATGGGGATGTAATTCAAACATTTGCTTTTGTTTTCGTTGTGTGAACAGCACAACATGGAACGAGACTCGTCTCGTGCATTAGAAACGGTCGTAATTACTGTTCGATGTACCGCTCGAGCAGTACTTCATCAATGCCAGTGTAACTTCGGTCAATCGTAAAATGTATTCGTGAAGTCGATCGTATTTATAATCTCGTTGTCGATCCTAATTTCATTACCGCACTCGCGATTCTATTTGCACCACGAATAAATTGGAAGTCGCGATACGTCTCCCGTGAGAAACGGCGATTGGAAAATTCTCCTTCCACCTCTCGTGGCTACAACGCTCGGGTGTATTACGCCTTTGCGGCGAAATTCCAGATTATACGTTCTTCTGCTTGACAGTACACCCACCGGTCATAGAACACTACGAGTTGGACGACCAAGAAAAGGCGGGGATATTCCTTTCTATTTTCAATCTGTCGCAAAATGTGCCAAAAGCTTTATAAGAAAAAGAATCGTACTATTATTTCTCAAGTATTTCCGAAAAAAAAAAAAAAAAAAAAAACAAAGATACGTATACTAAAGCATAGTATTACGATTAAAATGTTATCACGAAATGTTAAAGTAAATTAGAAGAATAAATTACACTGTAAAAAGTCTGATTGCATTAATTGGATTTCTAGTAGAAAATGGATAAATCAAAATTCATTGAAAAAATTTCTGGTTGAAAATGAACAAATCAAAAAATTCTGATTATATCATTTCGAATTCTAATTATCTCAACTAGAATTATAATAGAATTATAATAGATTGGACCAAAAAATTCTGATTTGTCCATTTTTAACCAGAATTCCAATTAATGCAACCAAACTCTTTTTCCAATGTAATTAAATTTATTATAATTCCAGTCGAGATGTCCATGATAATTGGAATTCTGATTGATATGATCAGAATCTCCTGGTTCATTCACTTTCTATCAGAATTTTTTCTCAATATAAAGTTAGTAATTTCGCTGATATATACTTTTCAAACAGATATGAAAATGTAAATGCAAAAAATGAAAGTTTAAAAATTCGTGAGAGTATGTGAAAATAAAATCAGTAGTGGGGAATCCACATTTATAACATGTGTAATAATAATTTCCGCGTCGTGCTTATGATTTCCTGTCATCTGACTTACAATTAGTTAGAGTAACTTGGCTGTCTTATGCTCAAGCGGCACTCTTCGTGTTCCATACGTGCCACAAGCAGCTTGATAACGACCGGGCTCTTTAATGCACGCCCGGCGCATCAGCCGCAGCGACTGGTAATCATTTCTCCATAGCAAGACAAAAAATTCAACTGGGTCATTCCATTCGAATTGACGCGAACGAAATTGAATATGATCAGCACAAACAGCGTTGTCCGTTCTCTCTCTCTCTCTCTCTCTCTCTCTCTATCTGCAGACGCGCCCCCGTCGTTATCCTGTCGGTCGTCACGCATAATACTCCACGACCAGCTCGAAATGCAATTTACATATTCATGACAATTCATTTGTACCCTATGGTGCGGTATGAGCTACCCCTTGGAGGTCTTATTAATTCTCTGGCATGTGCCTCGCTAAATTCTCAAGTCGAGGAATAAAGAAAAAGAACTAACCCAATTCGAAGGAGGGTGCGAAACTTATTTTCGATACGGATTCGTATAAAGTTCTACAGAACCCGGAAAACAGCATCAACTTGTTGTAATTACAAAATTCTTGAAGGAATTTGCAATCAATTTCTGTACAGACGATTTAAGATCTTCTCGCTTTGCTCTTCAACTTTTAGTTTTCGGTATATCAGTGATTAAACATCGAGATAGTTTCTATTGAAATGAAATTCACTTCATAGTAATGGAAAGATAATATTTCTAATTGTCTAAACATAATTTTGAAGTTTAATTTTTAACTTTTTCAGTGCAAACACGAAATATAAATTATGAAATAAGATTTTATCTATGTGGCATATAACATACATATGTATCATATTTGTCGTATCTATATAAGTGAACGTGTACGTACACATACGGAAGCGGACAATGCAAGTTTATACCTATATAGTCGATTGCAAGATTCTCGGCGTGGATTTCGCTTATCGACCGCTATTTCCTCGGCTCTACAGAAATATAGAGGATATTCTCACCACACGACATATATTTGATAGCCACGAGAAATCAATAAAAAAAATATATACATTCCGATGTGTCAAAATCATAATCCCAATATCTATAGGAGAAGCTCTTTCGATCACATAAATTATCCATTTTGTCAACTATTTCTTTATCTTCAAAGTATCTTTTTGAAGAATCTCACTTTTTACTATATATTTTTTTTTTTTTAACTAAAATAATTTTTCCTCTTATTTCTTTTTCTATATATAAGAAATAATTTTTTAAATATAAATTTCAATTTTATTAATCTATAATTCAAATTTTGATTAGATCATACTTTTGTGTGTGTGTGTGTGTGTGTGTGTGTGTGTGTGTGTGTGTGTGTGTGTGTGTGTGTGTTGTGTGTGTGTGTGTGTGTGTGTGTGTGTGTGTGTGTGTGTGTGTGTGTAATTTAGCAAAAGCTTGTTGAAACTATTGCCGTCAATTCGTAAGACCGCTGAAATATTATGCCGTTACCCATGCAAATCTATCTTCTGAAAATCGTTATTTCACCCCGACATATGGCAGTAACCACGCTGGGCGAATTCACCGGTGTTTAGAGACGCGTAAACTGTGGTGGCCGCTGTTCTGCGGCGCGATTGGCCATGTGCCAAAACATCTTGCAATCAATAAAATTTTGCATTATGCAAAAAAGCCAGAGACTGACGACGTTTGCGAAGTCATAGGCGGTAGACCGCAACGACGTTGTAAGGTAGGATCGGTTTAGTGTAGCCACTGGTATTCCGTCGCAATCTGTATTCGCGATTCCGCGGCGTGCCAATAAACGTCCATATCGGACCGCTTATATACACATATCCCGTTGGTTTCTGTCGTACCCAGAATGGTAGCGCCGTCTCAGCATTCATTGACACACAACAGTTCGAGGATAATCCGCCAACACGCTGAGAGATACGCTTGTCACACACGAAGACAATTAACTTTGCGTTGCGACAAACCCACCCGCGGCGTGAAACCGCCGATTTCGCCGAATCCGTTGCATCTGTTGCAAATATCAAGTATATACGACGCGCGCATATTATATATATATATATATATATATGTTATATATTATTCGAATCTTCGCGTGACACCTTACGTCGCAGGAAGTTTCAAATTCTCGGCGAAATCGGATTTCATAAGGAAAATTTCATAAGGAACAGTTTGCAATTAAGTGAAATCAAGCAAATGAAGCGAATATTCAATCGTCCATTTTTACGAAAGAATTATTAAAACATATTTTTTAACAAGAGAAGAATATTAAAAAAAACGTTTGTAATGTATCGACTGTGTTCTCTGGCAATGCGATTAATAGCATATTCGCAATGATTCCTCTTTTAATTAGGTTTTCTTCGATTCGCTAATGACGTACTATTCACCAATCAGAGAAATAAAAAGTAATAACGCTTGCCGCTGTTAAAAGCCCTCATTCGTCTAGAATCGCAATCATTCATGGAATTGTATTTCTATGTAGAGTTTCAAACGCGAATCAATAACGACCTCATTAACGTAATGTTTAATGGACACCAACTGCAAAACTCAGCTGTAAAACACGTTGTACGCGTACTTTACAGATTTGTCTGAATGCAAATCCATCGAAAGTTTGTATCACCATTACGTAATGATTTTTACACAAAGTTTTCTCTGTCGACATTACATACATATCGAGATTAATTTGCCAGGCTAATTCTTCATGTATCTGAATTCGCAGGTCATACAGATTATCTGAGAGGATGCATGGCTGACATAATTTACAACGGCGCCAAAGTTATAGAGTACGCTAGGTCGAGGAAGGGCCAGTCGGAGGCAACAGCCGTAACGTGGGGCTGTTCGCCGGAATTCGACGCCACGAGGAGCACGGAAGTCAGCTTTGTCGAGGACGGCGCCTTCGTCGCCATTCCGCGCCCCATTCCGCGCTCCGGTTCGAGGTATATACCAAAAGTACCATTTTCCGTTATAATGTATACACCTCCATTTATCATCGTCGCACCTACGGGACCGTAGAAAACGTAATTAAACTGTCGCGACGCAACCGTATTAACTACATTATCGATAATGGTTATATCGATGCAAGAAAGGATGCAACATGCTTTATCTCGTTAAGTTATTGTACCGAACCCCAGCATTATTTTACTTAATTATCTTCGTCGTTATTTATACACAGCTTTGCATTTACTCGACAATCATAATTTAAAAAAAAATTTCAAAGGCATTGTAAAATTCATGGTTGCACAAACTCGATCAAGTTCTCTATTTTTTTGCGAGACATATGAGACAACGTTTCAGTTTTAACAGCGAGTCTATCGTGCCATCACGTAAAATAAATACATTTACGTGGTTCATGAATCCAATATCTTATGGTAATACCGCGGGAAATCCGTTTCTCTGAGGTCGACGGCGACGGAGTTGCATAACTCGCATACTCGTGCACATAGCTGTACATCTACATCCAGGCCGCATTCAAGTCATCGGTCAGGGAAGGCCTTTCATGTTACGCGACTCCTACCACTTTCATCTTTCGTGCAGCTTTTAACGATTAAATCCACGAGAACGTTGTTACATCTCGAAGAGCTCGGAAACAACTGTTTCAATCGCGAGAGTTACGTCACTGTTAACTCTCGCAATGAGACAGACAGCAATGCTTCGTCAATGGGAACACTTTGATCCCTCTTTTCAGTGTGGCATAACGACTTCGACGAAGCGAAACGGTCGATTGGCTCGAAAGCTTATAAAGCTACTTAGTGTGCTAGCAATCGTTTGTGGAATTAATACTATTCATGATGTAAAGTCGCGGGTCATAATTTACATTAATGAATAAATATCCTAGTGTACAATATAGTGTACACGCAGGTAGAATGCAATTTTATTGAATGATAAATTCTGTACGGCAACGATAACTTCAATATATCCTGCCAATGTAGGAGACATAATGTTATTAATAAATTCAGATAAAAAAAGCGTATAACTTAATCAAAAACGTAACGAGTTTTTTAAAGCTCGTTTTTTGTGACACTTAGTTAAAGAAGATGTATTTGTCACTAAAATAGAAAGCTGGTTGATAAAATGCAATATGTCTAAAAATACATACGAACATATATAATATTTTTTAAAACGGATTAAAGTATTTTCGAGATACATACTATATAAATGCGTCGTTTTTATTTGAGCGTAAGTGGACATGTGCAAGCATATTGCAAGTCTCCCAGGAGCAGATTGTGTACATTGTGGTTTCGTGGATTCCCAGCATATCTCCAAGTATCTCAGAATAGAACTACGACCTCGAAAACCTTTGTTTTTATAAATTAAAAGCTCAACGGGAACCAGCGATGTTTACATTGAAAAATGTACGTAGGATGCATTTCCAATAGTGGCTACAGCAGGATATTACATTTTACAATCTATATTTTTATCTTATTTTTTTAGTTATTAATCTTTCGCAAGAAGAATGCAAACGATCTACGTTTATATATACGAGGATAGTTCTCCATCTTACAAAGAAAACGTGATATTTGACGACTCTTTTTATTTTTCAACATTCTCCTTTCAGCTCAATACACTTAGTCCAACGATATTCTAACTTTTTTATATTCCGTCTGTGTAATACGATTTTTCTAATCCTTTAAAATAAGCACTAGTTTCATCGATTACTTTAATATTTGAACCAAATCTTTTCCCTGTTTTTTCTTCATGTTTGATTTCTTCATGTTTGAAAAGAAGAAAAAGTCACTAAGGGCTAAATTTGGTGAATACGGTGCGTGCGGAACCAAATTCAAAGTTCAGCAATTTCGCGACTACGTTTTTGATAGACTAAGCAAATACGACATCGCAGTGTAAGCATTTTCATATGCAAATGCTCATGTAAGATGTTGTAAACGCGATCATTTGAGATGTTTGCAAGCTCACGCACTCGTCGATCATTCAACACAGCATTATAGGTTTTTTTCAATGTCATTAGTCGTAGAGGTTTTCGGACAACCTGAACATTCATCACCATTTATGGACGTACGACCTCATTTAAATTCAACAGCTTATTTGTTAACAGTTTAAAAAAATGTGAAGCCTCTCCCAAAGTTGAATCTAAGCTTGTTTTTTTATTTTTGTTGGTGTTAAACCTTTTAAAAGTATTTTACTGCGCAACATTCGACTTCATTTATTAAAAAAAAAAAATTAAAAGTTGGTTGCTTTACACGATCAAAACAAAGGAACTAGTAAACGCCCTGTCTGAAATTTTGACAGTAACTCTGCAGAATCAAACTTGTTAAAAATTATAGCAGTTTCACACTTCTGGCATCATCTCTGTCAGGCCGAAAACTTTTCAAATTACCTTCGTACATACGCAGCTATAGTACGAAAACGCTAAGCACGTCTGAGAGTAAAAACTTCAGTGAGCCAGATGTGTCCTCGCTGTGCTATCCCAGCGAAAATTATTCGAGAGTTTACTAAGAGGCAGAAAAACACTTCATTTTCACACGAATGCGGTGTACACCGAGTAAGCGCGGTTAATACCGGCCTTCACATGCAGATAGTTAAGTCCTGGGGTTGCACGCATGGTTTCCCGTGTCTCGTACGTTCACAGAAGCTGCGGCTGTAGGTACTCAGGCCCTTTTGTTGTCTTGAATTAAAAGCACACTAGTTCCGAGTAGTGCCTTAATTCAACTTATCAGAGAAAATAAATGTTGGTACCTGTTGCGTTAATACGGCTAAAAGCGAGACAAAAGGTCAGTTTTTTTTCACATAAATGTTTGAGTAACCAACCTCTCTTCTCGCATTGAACAGATACATAGTGCACCCTAGTAGATCTCGTCGACAAACGGATAAGTAGATAGTCAAGAGGAACTGAATGGATGACTGGACACTTGGACAGTCGTAACTGTTTTCTTTCCGTGGAGTTCTACCGTAAAGTCGATGAACCGTGAAGATTTCGACGTGCGCTTTCTGAGTTCAATTGATCTGGAAGATTCAAGTGTCACTTGTATGCATGATTCATACAGACGTTCGAGTTGTCTCCACTTAAACAAAGTGTACTTTTTGCCGTTAAATCGTTATTTAGTTCCATTGGTTGTCTTTCGTTGCGTATAAAACGTGGAACTGTCGTATTTAATGTAGCTTATCCTTTGATTTTCTCTCATATATTTAGTCAGTTTAAATCAATAAAGATTGAAGGAATAATGGATATTTTTTCGTTATTTAAACCGCTGGAATTTTTCGAATTTAATTTTCACGAGTATCAGTTAGCATACAAAGACCGAACACGTTATACTGCGCTTTCGGAAGCAAAACATCGACTGATGAGGAACGTAGAGACACACAAGCGGACCGTATTAGAATCCTTAGTGCACCTCCAGCACGGTAAACCATTAATTGCGTTTACAATTCGCGCAGGTACCTGTTTGCTTACAACCGTTGCGCGTTGCATTGTGTAGCTTTAAGACATTGACTAACATATCAGGTATTTTCATTAACTCCTGGATTTAACAGAGTCAAATTATAAGTTAATTTTCGATGAGATAATCATGATTCGTGTAATTAAACTTGGCTTGGAGCTTAATTAATGATATGCATATTCTAATATAAAACTTTTTCATCAATTGTCATCAATAAAAGATAATGAAAACACAGAAAGTAGAAAATATCGTAACAATCATGACATCGATAATGATTATTGTCGTTGTTTCAATAGCAACGAAATTAATATATCAAGAATGTGTGGTACAATAATATGATATAACTTTTTTAATTTCAATTCTCGGTATATACATCGCATTATTATATATTATTGCTCTCTGTTATGATGATGAAAGTCTGCTACGCTTTCGTAACCACGATTCATGTAATTAAACTCGGCTTGGAGCTTAATTAATGACATGCATATTCTAACACGAAACTTTTTCCTCAACTACCATCAATAAAAGATAATGAAAGCATAGAAAGTAGAGACTATCGTAATAATTGTGACATCAACAAGGGTTACTATTTCGATTGTAAGGTTAATAACAACGAAATAAATATATTAAGAATGTGTGTGGTATAATACGTACATGGTATTATACCACACAGTTATAGATGGTATAACTTTTTAAATGCAATATTAGTATTTGTACAAATACGTGTAATAGTAATTCCAATTCCCAATATATACATCGTTATCGCGTTACTACATCTGTCTGTTATGACGATGAAAGTCTACTCCGCTTTCGTAACCACCATTGTACCACTTCACTGTGATGTTACTTCAAAAGCAAAGTAATGAATCCACCCGCTGAAGTAAATAATCGGCTTTCATGTTCGCAGCAGCCGTGGCGTCTTCTCGCATAAGATGCGAAAATCATTCGCCCCAAAGTTTCTCCGAGTAGAAGTCGACTGAGCGAAATTTGATTTGATTACAATTATAAATTCACGGCGAACAATCTTCTTTCCCCTCTTGCTACCATCGTTTGCATTGCCTCGCTCGTTTAACTCGTGTTGCACGGCGAATAACGTTTCGCTTGTTTAATCGCGTTCTGTAGTAAGGTCTGAACACCATACCGTTTCAAGAACGATGATTAAACGGAGAGCAAAACATACAATTATCTTGTAGAAATAATATTCTTGAAGATTTATAAATTGTGATAATTTATAAATTATCACATCTTTAAATTGTCGTGATTTTCATCTCTATTTTATATCTGTATCTTGTATATGTTTTGTATCGTGTATATCTCAATTAATCTTGTAGAATTTTGTATATCTTATTGATTACAGTTTAATTCGTTTTTTTCAAAAAAGAATCGTTATTGCCTTTCAACAAAAATGACAAATTATTCGACGGTGTCACGTTTGATCAATCGATGCATTTGTAAAGTTTCTCGTTCATGATATACATATACAGGGTGTTCCGGATGTTAAAACTTCGGGAGCGTATAGAGAATCGATAAATTAAGAAAAAAAGTTCTTTAGAGATGCGTTCGTTTTTACTTCGTTTTGGAGAAAAAGATAATCGCAAAAAAGACAAAGTTTTTATTTTTGTACTTATTTATTACTTATTCATTCACACTTATTATTCATATTGTCACTTGCTTAATGTAGATATCGTTCAAAATGTTTACTTTTTACAATGCAAGCAATTACATCTAGTGCGGACAGCTCATGTGTCCATGCCAAATACTAATCAACGTAATGACTCACCGATCCGACACTCTTCTGTCTGGAAATCGGCGCGCAACTCTCGCACCGCCTCTGTAGCATTACCATTGCAGAAACCATACATATCAGCATATTCAACATTAAAACGCATATTGTAACAGGAGTAACTCACTCGATGAGTAACTAACGAATTAGGAATTTATAGGAGAAAGGCAGAAATATAAATAAAGTTTTCTCTCACCAGAAAATGGAATATTATTGTTTTTGTATACGATTTCAACGATGATAATATTTCAAAGGCAGTGCGAGAACGAAGCAACTATTTTTGTCCTTTTGCGATTTTTTTCAAAACGAAGCAAAAACGAGTATATATATATCTCTAAAGAACTTTCTTTCTTAGTTTATCAATCCCTTATGCACTCCAAAAGTTTTGACATTTAAATTCGGAACACCTTGTATGATACTTCACTACCAACAATACAACTATTGTAATGTTTATGAATCATGTGAAGAAATCAACTGCGAAATCCGATTGATAAGATGCATGTAATATCAAAGTTTTCCGTTATTTTACCACCAACGACTTACCAGTAACTTACTTATCTAGAAGAGTATTCTCGATGGCGAGTATTCATGAAATCGTCATGTAACGACCGTAACATAAGACGAGTCCGATTCGGTTGCGCAGTCCATTCTTAAGGGATAGTAACAAAGTTTCCTGCCAATTCCATCTTACGACTTTGCAGATGGGAATTCGAGATGAAGACCGGCGCCGATAGTGGCCTGTTGCTCTATAACACGGGGCAATCATCTTACGCCGATTACCTCGGCATCGAGCTGTTCGAGGGTAAGATTCGGCTATTGATGAATAAAGGGAATGGCCCGACCGAATTGACACATGGTACCTTGGTGGCTGACGGTAAATGGCACAGCGTAATTGTGGATTTCAATCCGAGCGGCCTTGGTATCGCTGTTGATCATCACGAGAAAACAATGGCTCTGCCGTCCGGCGGCAATCGGTTCCTCGATCTGGCGGACACATTGTACATCGGTGGCACGGAGTTGAATAAACGCGCCCGAGCTTTGGGCAAGGGTCTTCGATCCGGGGACGTTAGTTACAAAGGTTGCATACGGAATATGGTCCTCGACAACAAGGACCTCGGTTTACCGGACGTCAAGGTCAGCCAGGGTATTGTCGTGGGTTGCGTCTGGGGATATCCGTGTATCGAGGCTGATCCCTGCGTATCCGGTGCATCGTGCATGCAACTGGGTGTCAACTCATTCAGGTGCAACTGCGATCAGTCGCTATGCATCAAGCCGAATTACGCCGAGGACTACAAGGTAGATCAATTTTAATTGAGTTTCAATGATGCTCCACCCTCTTGGCGAGGGTTACGTTGCGGTTATGAGCTAATTGTGTCACAGGCAACTAGCGTATGGATTTACGGAGATGCATAACTAACTTAGTCAAGATATATTGTTTATATAAATTACTGTTTAATCATTGTAAGTAATTAATATAAAATATTTAATTTTATTTGCATCTCTATTGCATTGATATCTAATAATAAAGGAATTATATATAAAGTATATCATTTATACATACACACACATATATATATATATACTATTATCTATATATTATTATTAAAATAATAAATAATTTAATAAAAGCAATATATATATATATGTATATGCAATTCAATATTAACAACATCTATAATGTAATAAAGTATCTATGAAAGGGCAATGGACTTAGCATGATGACAGTGCAACTAAATCTTTACTTTCACAATATAAAATACTCTAAACGTTTCGGTTCTCATAGAACCATCCTCAGTGGACAAAAAACTTATAATAAAATAATTTTAGATTTCATTAATTAATATACTGTTCATCTTCAAACTCTTCTTCAATTAATTCTAACAGTTTTTTAACAACAAACAAGTATCATTACCACAAAATGTCTGATATGACTACAAATACATATAGAAAAAATATATATAGTACAGATGTTGATAATATTGAGATAAAACTAATATCTGCATTCATAGAATGAAGAATCGATATGGTGTGTTTACAGATGTACTCAAATACCACCCTCCCTGTAAATTTGGAAATTCTCTCTTTGAGTCCTGTACTAGTTTCCGAAGGGGAAAATGTGTTGGTAACGAGCAAAAACATCGCGATGGTATTGGACATCGCCAAATACGGCTTGGAAGAAACTGATGTCTCATTTACCTTAGTGACACCACCAACTTACGGAACCTTGGCATTAGATCTCCTAACATCCCGAAATGATCATTCTTTCACGTTGCAAGACATCAATCAGGATAAGGTAATCGCCTAATCAGCTAGTCATCAATTTACTAAATCCTTTAATTAACGTTTAATTCCGTTTCAAACTCGTTGCGCGATTGTAAGCCTGCAATCACAAGGATTGCTACAATATTAATCCATCTGTCGGTGACGATAAAAGTCGAAATCGCCGAGAAGTTTGCGGAAGCACGTATAAGAGACGAAACTCGGCCGATATGCACCTGACATTAATTAATATCAGGTGACTAAACGCGGCCAGAGCCGGCTGGCCGGGCATGGGCCATAGAAGGCCGGAGAAACATGGAAAATCATGTGTTCTTCCAGTTCGTCATAGGACCACGCGTTGCTATACATAGTACGCGCCATAAGGACTAACTTTAGAATCGTTAGAGGCGGGAATATGGAGGGTCGGCCGACTTGCTCTCACTCGCTCATTCGCCCCTGCTCCTCATGTTACCCACACTCAATTTATCTAGCGACAGTGCTCTATTTATAAATCGCTCCCGCCACCACTCATTAATGGTTTTTCGTTAAAGATCGCGTAACGGTCGCTTTTTATCCGCCGCCCCAGCATCTGTCGTTTATTGCCAATTGCTTTCCAATCGTTAAAAAAAGAACAAGGAAAAAGCTCGCGTCTTCCCCTTGTCTCGACTCGGATCATCTCAGGACGACGCCCACTTGATATGCTAATCGACGATTTAACTCCTGTACTCCTGTCGCTCTAATTAATTTTCAACCGCGGTCGATCTCGAGTGTTAGATCAAACGCTAGAAAGGATAACACGGAGTCGGGTACTCTGACGTACTCTCCCATGATTAATTCTGATTCTGTAGCACGATGTAGTGTGTGTTTGCCGATCGAGATTCTCGTGAAACAGCGAGCTCTCGCACAAGTTAAGGTTCACACATTCCTCGTTGTACGGTTATTCCTAACCAATATTACGATACATAACAGATTATTGATTTCTTTCGTATGCAAATTTGCTTTACCAGACTTTGCACGAGTATGAAAAACGCGATCAATTACCGTGTCGTTCGTTATCAATTTTGCGATTTATTAGTAATCGTTTAACAGTAAAAGTAATTTCTTTAAACCATTAATTATCCGATTTTGCTATATGTGAACATTGCTATATGTGTTGGATATGATGTAGGGCATTATCCTTATGATAATTGACTTCCCCAACAGATACAGTATATGCATGACGGTAGCGAAACCACAAAGGACAGCATGATTCTGGAATTGACGTTGGTGGCCGAGACAGGCTATACGCTTCCAGGATACCTCCAAGGACGCCTCAGGTTCCCTCTTCATGTTAATGTCACTCCTGTCAATGACCCCCCATTACTCGAGATACCGACTGCCAAAGTGCTGCGTCTGGCCCAAGTAAGACACGAAAATAAACTGTAAGCTCTTATTTTTTCTTTATCTAGTCTCTCAGCAATGTATTTATCATGATACGTTTTTCGTCATGTTACCGACGACAATGCGCGATAATTCGAAACACGTTACGTTCGGCTTAACCGAAACAACCGGCAGTTCATGCCACTCAACTAAATCAATTAATGGAGGCCATATGAAATAGTAGCTTATTTGTGGCTCGTGCATCTTCGGAGAACGTGGCAATTTAGCCGCAACGAAATCGATTTAACTCGCTCGCGCGCTGGTCATCGCTCTTAATTAACTGCGCGTGTAAGTTCGAGGGTATTCAAAGACGGAAGTTATAATTACGATATATATGTTTATTTAACCTAACCCATTCCGGGGCAATTCCAATGCGCTAAGTACGCTACAGCCATTTTAGCAAATCCGAAATAGTATATAGCAAATACAAATAGTAAATTATAGTAAATGTTACAATTGACCTTTAATTATTTTTTTAAACTCTTATAAAAATATACAAACAAAAATAATTGTCATGTTAAAACTAGTACGTAATAATATTAAAATCAAAACAAGACCTTTTACATTGATTCACTATCTCAAATTATTTTTCAATAGAAAAAACTGATTGCTAAACGAATATATTGATACAAAATATCAAAGTGTGTATTCGCTATATCTCGCTTGATGCGTTTTACGTCAGCGCGAAAATAACAACGCAATTTTTCGCCAATTTGTTGAATCCTTTCATTCAATATGTCTGTGCAACATTCGTTGGATGATCTCGGGCAAATATAAAATGTGCGAAAAACGCTGATATTCACAGGGTACAAGAAAAACACTGACCAAGGAGTTAATATGGGCCATAGATGCTGACACTCCGTCGGAAATGCTGATTTATACGGTTTTACGAGCAGATACTGACGCGGGGCATATCGAGAAAGTTACTTATCCATTTCGACCTATCGACACGTTCACACAAGCCGAATTAATGCAAGGTCTCATTGCGTATGTGCATCGTGGAAACGGTAACAATTCATTATTATTAATTCACAAAAAACGTTGTATTTTAAATGAGCATATTTGTTAATCTTTTTATGTTGTTTTTGCAATACCTTTTATTTCAAATCTGTAAAACCGTAATGTAAATGTCCGGCAGTGAAAAATATATGAGGGATTATATTTTCATCAAAAGCTTTTATATGAACGAAACATTTAATTTTTTAGCTAAACCGAATGCAATGTTGGGTTTACAAGTGAGCGATGGCATCGAGAGTAGTCAGCCAGCGTATTTGCGCGTATCGGCTTACCCGTTGCAAATCAAGTTGACGCACAATACTGGTCTCATTGTGGTACATCGTTCGTTCTCATACTTGACACCAGCGAATCTCTCGTTCGCCACAAATTCGGACGACAACACCATCGACATTCGTTACGACGTCGTCTCGCCGCCACAATTTGGTGTTTTGCAGAAATTGAAGGACGTCTCTAGCAGTTGGGCAAACGTAGACCATTTTACTAGTCGGGACGTGGAATTGCACACCGTTCGTTACCTTCATAACGTCGGCAGCCCTAATCAGGACGAGTTTAAATTCCAAGCAAGCGTGCGCGAAGTGAAGACTCAGCAGACCTACGACTTTCGCATTACTTTCATCGATCTAGAGTTAAAGGAGACCAAAAGGGTACCTATTAATCTCACCAATACATCAAACATCATTATCACGAGCAACCACTTGAAGTACCAGACGAATCCGCTAGTTACATCACTAAGCAAAATTGTTTTTACTCTTATAATGGGACCAAAATATGGCAATTTATTTTTGTTCGACCGTAAACTCGTGGCGACTGATACCTTCACTCAGGAAGACATCGAGGCCAATAGATTGAGCTACCGTCTATTCAGACGATCCTATTCCAATATCTTCGATGAAATAACATTTAAAGTTAACGCACCTCAATGCGTCGACATACATGCCAATTTGAAAGTTCGATATTATCTTGGCAAGAACAGCAAGTTGCTGGAAGGCGCGGAGAATTTGAAAGTTGACGAAGGCTCGAAAGTACCTCTGAGAATCACACATGTGAATCCAAAGGAATACGGTGTGTCCTCTTTGATGTACAATCTCACAACAAAACCAAATCATGGTTGGCTCTCCATTGCGAATAGTTCAATATCACAAAATAAAAAAAATGTCTCATTTTTTACGTTAGAAGATGTATTGATGCAAATAGTATATTATGTGCACGATGATTCCGAGACTAAAGAAGATTCTTTCGAATTTGTAGCAATGTCTATGGACACGGATTTTATGTACGTCGGGAAATTTCGAGTCGAGATCATTATGAAAAATGATAATCCGCCAGAGCGAACAATCGATAGAGTTTTTCATGTTGTGTCGAAAGGCGAAAAATTAATAACCAATAAGGATCTCGCATACATGGATAAGGACATTGGTACTAGAGCGAGCGAACTTATTTACACCAGGAGGGATGCTCGAAAAAGTGGATTGTATAAAACAACTAATCCCTCGGTACAAATACGTGAATTTTCGCAACAAGATATCAATGACGGTATGATACTCTTTCGACATCAAGGGGACGAACACGAGAAAATTGAATTCGGTATCACCGATGGTCACTTTTACAGGACTGGTGTTCTTCAAATTCAAGCCAGCCCGCCATACATCAGGTTACGCGAGAATAACGGTTCGGTCGTTCAATTTAACAAGTCCGTTGTGCTCCAATCGAAAGAATTAGAGGTAGAAACGAATGTGTATGTTACAGAAAAGGACATAAAATACAATGTGTGGGAGAAACCGAAACATGGTATATTGATGAAGTATGGCAGAGAGTCAAATAGTTTTACAGAGGATGATCTGAAGCACGGTAGCGTGTTATATAAGCACTTGGGTGGATCCTTAACAAAAGACACTTTTAGATTTAAAGTGTTCGTTAAGGGTGCAGATGCCGAGGGTGTGTTCACAATCAAAGTCTATCCAGAGAGCTATTGGGAATCATTGATTATACAAAATAACAAGACGATATTTGTCGAGGAAGCTACTAGCATTCTGTTGAATCGGAAAAGCCTCGAAATAATGCATCCCAAAATATCGCCAACCGAAATTGTCTATTTCATACGAGAGTGGCCGCAGAATGGCTACCTAGATTTACAAATCCATGATGAGCATAGCGAGGAAGTGAGGGAAGAGTACAGTGGTAATGCGGTGAAACATTTCGAGCAGAGTCTGATAAACGATAATCGCGTCTTCTACGTTCAATCGATTATGAATCAGACGAACGATCGTTTTGTTGTAGACGTTACCAACGGTATTACGTGGTTACGCGGACTAAGTGTGAACTTCGTGATAGTGCCAGAGAAACTCTACGTCGAGGCGAAAAGCTTTACTGTAGTGGAAGGGAAAGACGTGATACTAAGTGAAACGAACTTCTTGGTTGTGACGCCGTATTACGCTGGTAAGGTAACGGATTATAGAATAGTAGAGAAGCCAAAGCACGGTACGATTCTCGATTCCACGAAGAACACTCAGGTAAAAAAGTTTTCGCAAAAGCATCTGAACGCTGGGGTTATACTGTACAAGCACAACGGGGATGAATTTTTGAGCGATTCCTTTAGAATGATAGTTACTGCTAGTGATAAAATGAGTGAGCCTTTTGATGTATCGATTATTGTTCAACCCGTTAATGACGAGGTTCCTGTGTTAGTGAATAGAACTAAACTAAATGTTTGGCAAGGCGGTTCCGTTATTTTGACATCGACAAATTTAGCAGCTATAGACAATGACACTGCCCCATACGACATAATATTCAACGTTACTGGAGTAAGAAATGGATACATCTCATTAATCACTTCACCTGATGTGGACATTTATAATTTTACGCAGAGCCAAATCAATGAATCACAAATCGTATTCACACATACGAGTAAGTATTTAAAATATTCAGAAATATTAATTTAAATAGACGAGCTATTTTATAGAGTTTTCCCTAGTTATATACATATAATGCAATTTAATTAATACCAACTAACATAACATAATTGTTAGTTATAGTTTGCCACTCAACAATATAATTGTAATATAATAACACATCTATTATACGTAAATTGAATGGGAAATTTTAACTAACAATTGTGTTATTTATTAGTCGATGTTTACTGGAAAATATAATGTTAAACAGTAATGATTATATAATAAATCATACATTAAATAAATGTATAATAATTTTATGAAATAGTATATTGTAATATTGAAATAGTATATTGTAATATACTATTTCAGAAAATTAAACTGCAATATATCTTTTTAATATTAATAAGATTGTAAAGTCTTAGTAAAATATTTATTATAAAATGATAAAAATGTGTACAACGTTTTTTTTCAGATGGATCTGATGGTGAATTCAATTTCGTTTTAAATGATGGTGTACACACGACGAAATCTTACACGATTTTGGTCACCACAAAGCCAATTCGTCTGAACATTGGACACAATATGCCCCTTAATGTCTTCCCCCTTACTAGAAAATTAATATCAGACAAGCTCTTATTAACGACGTGTTCTGACGAAGCGAGGGAGATTAGGTACACTGTGCGAAATGGGCCCCATTTAGGTAAAGTTATAATGGAGACAAGTGAAGGGGTCTGGCTTGAGGTCGAGCGATTTACTCAGAGAGATATAAACAATAGCAAAGTAATTTACGAGCACACCAAGCAGTTCATGGACCTTACGGCCAATGACTCTTTCATATTCGACATCGAAACACACTTCGCTGGAACTTTAATGAATCAGGTATATAATATAATTTAATATCTATTGTAAATATATTATTTTCTGTTACGCATATTTTATAATTTATAAAAGACAGCATTTTCAGTAAGTCAAGAAATTTAACATTTTTTTATATTTTTTAATAATCTTCGATGCCACGCTACAGAAACAACACACTTAAATATGACACATTCAACTAATTCGGTTGTTTATGACTTTCATAAAAATGATCATGTAAAAAAATTTCTTTTCAATTGAAATGCCGATAACATTAACGAACTTAATAATGTCAAGTAAATTTATTTGTGTATCTTTATTAATAAAACAGTTATAAGCAATAGAAAAAATATTGGAAAAGCATTGGAAAAAAACCGGATATGCTATATCTAGAATGGCACCGAAGGTTAATACTCTTAATAAAAATTTCGAGAAGTAAAGTTATTTTATATCTAACAGTGTACTTTGTATATCGTAGGTTTTCCAAATAGATATATCAGTTTCGAGTGGAGGCTTAGATAGGTATATTTCTATGAAAAACGTAAGAGTCATGGAGGGTAGCTCTGCAGAGGTCGTGATGAATATAAGTGGCATTGTGTCATTTCTACAAATTAACGCTGGCATCCCGAATCCGGCGGTATTATCAAGATTGATTCACCAACCTAGTCATGGACACGTGATGCTTCTGCCGGATTTAAACGTGACCACTTTTACGCAACCGCAAATCGAGGGTGGAAAAATTGCTTACTATCACGATCACTCAGACACTCTAGAAGATCGTATTCAATTCTCGTTATACTTGACACCCGGTCACGTGTTACTTTGCAACACCAGTATTCCCGTTGTAATCGAGCCAATCAACGATCAGCCTTTCAAACTCATTACCAACAACCCATACATTACGGTCGTGCAAAATCAAAATCAGACCATCACCCGGGAGAACCTTTTAACCACCGATCCTGATACTCCACCGGAAGAAATTATATACGACGTAATTTCAGGACCGACCTTTGGTAGATTATTGCTTTTACCATTCGATCAAAACACTTCAGAAGTACGTCCTGTGGAAAAGTTTACCCAATACGACGTGGATTCTAATCGAGTGGTGTACGAACACAATGGAACGTTACAAACTGCTTCTTTCTACTTCAGAGTTTGGGATGGTGCCTACAATCCAATTTATACCGTCTTTAATGTCCACATTTTAGCTATACGATTAAATGTGACTGTATCCGGTCCTGTAAGCTTGCAGCAAGGTTCAAATGTGGCACTTATCTCGGAGAATGATGTCAAGCTTGATACAAACGCACGTCAAGACCTGGTGGTTTATGAGATTACGACGCATCCAAAACACGGAATATTGTATGTACGGGACGGCGCTGCGGCAACGTTCAAGCAGACCGATCTGCAGTCGAAAAGTGTAATGTTTATGCAAACTGATATGACAGTGTCGAACGACAGTTTGGAATTATCGGCGCGATTAAGTGGCTTCGAGCAGAAGCACATACGCGTAGAGATCAAGGTCGTGCCTCTCATGATCATGAACTCGCTGACAGCGTTGGCGGGCGAAAAGAATCGAATAACTCTACAATATTTGGACGCGACTCCTCTAGCAAAGTTAACGACAAGCAATCCCCTTTATACCATTGTGAAAAAGCCAAAATACGCAAAGATCAAGAGGATTATCAGAAGTTCCTCGTCATCCGGCGAGAAGAGAGGCGCGCGCGAACGAGAAGTCGCGCGTTTCTCGCACCAGGAAATTATCTCGGGGGTGATACATCTAGTATGTAGAAAAATACCATCGATAGACGGTGTCGCGGACAGCTTCAGTTTCATCCTCGCGGCGTCTATTTTTCAACCGGCAGTGGGAGATTTCGAATTCAACATTAAGCTCGATATAGACGATGACAATATCACTTTGGGCGGCCCAATGGATCCGGTCGGTCACGAAGGCGAGATGGCGATCGCACCGAACATGAGCAACGATTATCTGCTAATCCTCGGCATGTTGCTTGGCGTGTTCCTTCTCGGCGTGGTTGTAATTATCACAATCAGGTGTCGTCACAATAAATACAAGCATGCCGAGGAGGAAAAACCGGAAACTACACCTGCTGTTGGGGTGATGCCACTTCCCAGACCTCCGGATCATTTGATGCCTACCACTCCACATCTAAAGCCATTCGGTAATGATCACAACAGCGTGACGGCCAGCACGCCTTTGCCAATGTTACCCTCGACATTACCTCAGTGTAAAGTGATACCCTTGACCCCCCTGGAAAGCGGTTCGGAGGTCGACGTATCCGCAAGATATCCCTATGGCGTGGCGGACAGCGACGAATGGAGTAGTTTCGACACTTCCGATCTACCTTGTCAGTCGGCCACAACTCAAAGGACCAAGAAGAACCCTTTGTTGAGAAGGGATCAATACTGGGTCTAGCAGGAGAGAAACACGTTGCGGTTTACGCGAAGAAAGCCGTAGCGTATCTTGATGTGTTTCATTAAAACTATCGTGGATATCATGGACTTAATGTGCCTAAGAAAAATGAAATCTGCGAAAAAGTTTACAATTGTTCATTGAAGCCCGAGATTATCATGTCAAACATGTATCGAAAAATAGTGAAATGACATTCGATGTTTTGGTGGAAAACTCAGTGATCGTCGGCATCCGATCTCGATGCATTTAATTTTAATTGAAAAAAAGCAAAGGAAACTCTTAGATTATAGGAGAAACTTATGGATCGAAAAGGATTGATCGATAATTCGCGATCCGGGATAGTTCGCAGTGTCTCGTGTACTATTAGCCTAAAACGATATAAACAGGAACTCTAGATCTTTTTGAATGTCACGACTATCGCCGCTATCACGAGCTCAATGTGCCTAAGAAATGTCTGACTCTGCTGACATTCTTTCCATTAATTACACGTCGATTTTTCGTATGTCTACGTCCCCTCCTTCCGGCGGATTGAAATAAATTCAATTGTAAAGGCAGACCAATTGTTCATTAAAGCAAGACTTTTACGACAAATTCAATTCTGGTCTAAGCGAAAAGTTCGTCGGGATACTGACTCGTTCTAGAGTGTAAATTTTCAGAAAAATTTTATGTTCCTTTACCTCCTTCCATTTTTACACCTTTTGTAAATCTAGAATAGTAAGATCGTTATATAAAAGTGGCATTTATCGATCCCCATTATCGTAAGTTCCACATAAAAAAAGTATTAAGACTAACAAAAGGAACTTTCGCTCTTAAGCTGTAAACAAAGGAAACATCGAGTAATCGGGATAATACAGGAACTGTGTGACACTGTATTGTACAATGATTAAATATACACAATGTAATCGAGACTATATATGTTCCTGTTACTTGTTACTTGCCATCAAAGAACGCAAACGAAACGCATTTATATAAACAGCTATACTCGAGTTTCGACATATCTTTTTATACCGTCGTATTGTCAAACTCTTATTTTCTTTTGATATAGATCCCGCATGCAATCGTTTCATCTTATCCCTATTTTGATGTTGCTCATATTGCGTAAATAAATATAAATCGACAATTAATACTTGCCTGGCGAAATGCAAAAAGATCGAATCGCTCTTTTCACGACAATATAACATGTATCTATCTTTACGTAGCGACATGCATTGAATTATGATTCTGCTTAAAACGTGTCATAAGGAGATAAAATTAATTCTTTTGGATTGTTATTATAAGTAGTACACTGAGAAAAAAATGCAGTTGATTCAATTAAAGTCTATATTACGGGCTGTCACTAGCATAAGTGATTAATTTATGTATATTTTTATTGACATAAAGACATAAATTATTATTTCAATAATCAAGACTTTTATGTCAATAAAAATATATATGAATTAATTACTTATGTTAGTGACAGCCCGTGATATAGATTTTAATTGTGAATCAACAGTATTTTTTTCTCAGTGTAAAAATGATGAAGTAGTAGAACCGATGTCGTTTTTCACAAATCAAGTTTTCTTACATTTTTTCACGAATTATATATGATGATTATTTTAGATCGAATTACGTAGAATCGTAACATACAGAATACTGCATGCACAATTCTTATCTGTTTCGTTTCTGTGCAAGCTTTAGCGAGCGTTAGACACGACGCCAAATAAGATGATTATTTGACATATTAAATGCGAATTAGCAGTAACAGTCAAAGTCTATAAGCTGTTTTTTACATGAATGAGTGTAAATCTTTTCTATGAATCGTTGACGCGCGACGAGTTCATAATTCATAAGCGATGAACGGGGTTGTGCGTGCGCGATTTCAGTATTATCTGAGAAAAATTTATTAAGAGGCATGTTGACCAGGTCGTTGATTTTTAAGAAAAATTTTACGTTACGTTACTATTGAATTCGCGGTAATCTCAATGAATCCACTTTCGGCTAACATCGAATAATATGATGATCCATGCTAAATTTTTTTAGTTCACAATAATTGTAATGAAATTCCCCCCCCCCCCCCAATTATTTCTATAGATACAATTATAGTTCACTTGATGCTACAAAGTACTATATTTGACTGATCAATCAGAAGAAAGAATTTTATTCTAATTGACCAATTAAAGAATACTTCAAACTGTAGCATCAAGTGAGCCGTAACCAATATCAATGATAAACAGCATATAGCGTCATCTGGTCAAACAATATAAATTTATTAAATTAAATAGTTAAATTTTGATTTAAATAAATTAATAAAATTGTTTTTAAAACACAGGGAAAATATTAAGATCTTTATATGTTAATAAAATAATATTTGAAAAGGCATTTTTTGAATTTTTATCAAAAGATTTACTGGTATTCTTAAATATGTCTCTTTATTTTATCACTGCTGATTATTCAAGATCTTTTCTTTAAAAGAAAAAGACGGATTTTTTATGGATGGCAATCCAATTTGCCTTAATGAAATCACAATATATTGATGAAAATGAAATTTTATACGCTTTTGCAGAAATTTGAATAAATATCTGGCCGAAAGTGGATTAATGATAATTTTCTTAAAATTAGAAATGTATCTAATAAAACAATCTAATGTGAATGTTGATTATAGCAATCATAATAATATATATAATATATTATAATGCGTACAACACTCATATGTAGAACGTACTGTTCCATGAATTCATAATATACGCATTAATAGATTCTAATCAAAGACATTTTATCGAGAGAATCAAAGAGAGAGAGAGAGAGAGAGAGAGAGAGAGAGAGAGAGAGAGAGAGAAAACCCGTTCGTTGATTCATGAATATGTTAGAAGAGGTAAACTGTTAGTCTTTTTTACATCCACCAAAAGTGAACTGATCCGAGTGCCAAACTTCTATAATCTATAATATATATATATATATAATAATGACCATAGAACTTGTATTTTCCCTGCCAACTGAATGCATTACTCTTCTAATTCTAATAAATTAAATGTGCGATGTTAAGTAAATATGGACTGATTTATTATTTATATTACGTATTTATTGTATTGCAGTGGCTTATCTTTTATTAATATCTATTATTGATTTTATTAATATTATTCCATGTTATTACCTGTATGATTAATAATAAGTCTTAAACAAACTTTTTCTCTCATATTAGTTTCATATACTTTTTAAAATTTTAATTTAAATATTTCTTACTGTAAATATAATTAAAAAATAAAAAATTCGTTTAAAGTATTTCTGTATATAAAAAACGAAAATAAATCTCGGAATTATTGAGCGAATAATTGAAACACGAACTTGAGTTCTCTATTTTAAGAATTGACAGTTTTTTAGGGAGTGACACCAATACTAGTATATATGTATATATTATATGCAATTAAGAGATTTATAGATTTAATTTCATATTTAATTTAAATAATACTTTTAACTAATAATAGAATATTATTTAATCCGCCAATAAAATCGATCTAATCGATCAAATAATTTTATTAATTTTTTTGTACATTTATTTGCGTTTAGTATTTGTCTGAAGAATAAAAATTAATGTGCGCAACCTTTTTAGATATATCAAGAAAGTAACCGAAAGAGTAATGCGGAAGGTTTGTGAACAAAATAAGTTATTTACCTCGATATTGTGCTTAAGAGCAAAATATCAAACAATGTCGATAAGATGCAATAATTTTTACCCTAATAGCAATTCATTGGCGATACATTGGTTCAACATGGAGGATATATTAAGATAATATTGGGCCAATACTATGCCAATATTATGTCAATAAAATTGTATTATTAAGGCAGTTTCGTTTTTTCCAAATTTATATAAACAATGACATTCCCTAGCATTTGCATGAAAGTTTATCAGATCGTTGTATTCTAACATGTTCATTAGCATAATTGTGTGATGCTTGTCATAAATCAACATTGCATGCAGCAATAATTTCCAACAACTGATTTTTTTCGTATGTAATTAAAAGTATATTTACTGTACTAATTAAATAAGCTATACCGATCACAATTAAATGCAGTGTAGTCAGTTTGCAGTTTATTTTGAAAACACGGTGAGATGAATACATACATCCTACATCGAGATAAAATATCTCTATGCTATGCAAAAATTTATGGTAGACTCACCGAAATTAGATACCATCTACAATCTCTATACTCCATTCGATCCTCTTCAGCAAATATGAGACCTGTTGAATAAAAATTATATGTATATTACGTATATTGCAATATGATAAAGATTGCCTTGAGAAAATATCGACAATCATCGTTGCTGCGAATTTGCTAACGTTAAATATTTTAATTAAGTCAAATATGATGTTTAATAATTCGAATGCAAGAAATAATAATCCACGTTATATAATAGCCAGTTATCTAACAATATATACGTACTTGACGGTCCAAGTGCACTTCTGATTGAATTTCCGTTGCATTGTGAAAGAGCATCGTCGACTCCGAAGGTTTGTTCGCGTCGCATGCTCCAATATGCTTCAACATGCTCTTATCATAGCTCTTACTTACTTTAACGCGCTCGTTGGATGAATAGGAGCTATGGTCGGAGCATGTTGGAGCATATTGGAGCACGCGACGCGAACAAACCTCGAGATCACGACGCTGATGGACAGCAGTCACGCACAATTAACGGGTCTCGAGAGAAATTTCGGATATTTGTGAGACCGATTAAAGATACTTTGCGTGCACGGGATTCTTTTAGGCAGTAACAGCGAAAGATACGGAAAAGAGATTCGAACCCGACACGCAGCACCCGCAGCACGTCCAACCGCGATTCGAAATGTAACATGGCGGTTGTTTGAGTAACGAAACGGTCGACAAAGCGGCAACTTCAAATGGGTAATTGAACCCGTTTATTTTAGCGGCACTTTCTACATTCGATATGATACGCTAATCCTTTGAAAGGACAAGAAACAAAGAGTTTTCCATTTGTGACACAAATCGATACAATTAGTGCCATTCTTTGTTACTCACTGAATATCAACAAAAAATAGAATGACGTTTGTATTGTGTCACTGAATATAGGAAACATCAAAAGATGAGCACAGAAAACGCAATTGAAATGTATTAACTGCACCGAAGTCTGTCGACAATCAAGTTGTGGTATTATCGAAACGATCGAAGCAGTGAATTAATTGGTAGAAATACAAAATATTAAAATAAAATAAAGAAAATAAAAAATTAAATAAAAATTATTAAATAAAAATTAAAATATTAAAATATTAAAATAAAATGTTAAAATATTAAAAATATGAACCAAATAGTTTCTTTAATATACATATACGAGCTCTTTTTCAAAAGATTACAAACGATACTGTATCTTGTAAAATAAAAATAAAATTTTAAATTTATTTATTATTCAATAATAAGATTTATTTATTATTATTATTATTGCTAAGCAAAATTATATATTGTTTATGCAAATAATGAATATTTTATCCGAATATATCTAAAATATTTGAATATATGATAACATAACGAATGGTAACGAATTTTGAATGATAACCTATTGATAATCTATTAAATGATAACGATGATAACAATGAATTATGCATGATAGTAATTTATTATATGCATGATATAAGATAATATATTATCTTTTTATAATCGTGGAATTTCTATATATGATAATATTTTTATTTAATTAAATAGAACCTATATTATTATATACCCTGTTTAAATTAATTATATATTATTATATTATATACTTGGAGAAAGAGAGAATTATATTTCGCGTCGTCAAATTCAAATTAGTGTCGCAAAATCGCAAAATAGACCTCGTCGCGCCATCTGTAAAATCAATCTCACACGACGCCGCATGATTTAGCGCCGCCAAGCCAAGGCAGTAGTTACTTCACTTCCTCAACATGGCTTCGTGTGTTCGGTGAGTTTATTTTCGGCTTTTTAACCTTTGGACTGCGAAAATACAGATTTATCGCGGGCGTACGTGAGATCGTTCGTGCGCGACATTCTGAATGGTCGCGGCGGTCCTCGTCTATTTTTCTGGCATAAAATCGTGACGTAGATCTCACAGATCATTGATACGCCGCTGACGTGTCCCCTCCGCGCAATGTTGTTTCTGATATAAATACTTTTTTTTCAATTAACTCCTCGCGTCGCCGGCCGCCAATCTAATCTAATCTGTCGCCGAACGACTGTGATACCGGCCGCCATACGCCACGGTGA